TGATTGGTGCTATCAAAATTCATGAAGTTAAAATGAAAAATTTTGCTATTCTTATTTTTATGTATTCACTTTTTGTTCACAAATCAATAAAATCCATTAATGGGGTGTTTCATATGCAAAAAATTATTGTAAATGTGATTTTTTAACGTATATAAATAACTTTCAAAAGTGATTAAAATAATTAATCAATTATTAATATTGTTCCTGTTGTCCACATTGCTACAAATACATTGTTTGAAAATTTATTTAAAAAAAAAGGAATTTTTGAACAAAATGGCACTATCACTAGCTAGAATTTTGCTAAAACTTCCAAAAAAGATTCCGCAGTGAGCCTCGGATGAATAAGCTTATCTTTTAATTATATTCAATTAATTTTCAAACGCTTTGATTTTTGTTCTGTTCTTTTCAACGTGATGATTTCTTCCTATTGTTTCCAAATTGTTCTCACAAACATTACTTTTGTTGAACTTTTTAATTGCACTAAGGAAATAAGGTAAGTTTCTTTCTTTCCTTCAGAGAAGTGAGACTCATTTGCAAGTGTTTGTAGAAAGCAAACTTGCAATGATCGCCTTCATTATCTCTCTCAGCAGCTTCTGATAAAATCTATGTAGACGTTGGAATTGAAGCTCATCTCGAGCACAGTCGTTTTACTTTCCTCCTTTTATCTTATAAGTAGCCGGCATTGTACGTTGAGAATGGAGGAGAGATTTTAAGCATTAAGGAAAACTTCCCTTTTCCATATCTCGGCGGGGCACTTGTTAGAAAATAATCTCAATCCGGGACGCTTTTCATTCTTCCTCCGCCCTCTGCCTTTTTAATAACTGCATTATTACTTGAGGGCGATCGTAAAAACTTATATGCACGCGCCAGAAGTGTGTGCGACGCCGATTCGAAAAAGCGGCGCAGAGTGAAATGAAAATATTATTTCTCGCCAGATCATTTTATGCATGCCGACTCTCAGAGCTCTTGGAAAAAGAAAGTTTGCAGATAAATTGTAATCATAAAAGCTGGGCGAGGAAATTACGTCGCAGATAAAAAGCACGCTGATGAGAAAATTTCATTGCAAACGAGATCATTATTCTCGTTTAAGACCGGACGTTAAATTTTATTAACTTGCAGACTTGTTACCGAAAATAGTTTTGACGAGCTGTCAAAATTTTATTGCTATCCGCCTCTAATGGTATCATTGCAAAAAATCATACCAAAAAGAAGCTTTATTCGTCTTCTCATTTGAGATGGATTTTATAGGACGGCAAGGAGTGTATCTTTTTTTAGCCAATATGAACAATTTAAAATCATTTTAATTATGCATACATTTTCATCAATAATATATTAAATCAATTGAAATTATCTCTATAAAACTTTGTTAGTGCATATTAATTTTTACACCAATACACAAGAGAAATTAAATATTGATTAATTGTAAAAATAATCATAAAAAAATTTTAAATAAAAAAATAACACCTTATAAATAAATATCGTGTCTTACCAAACACTTTGAATTATTAGATTGAACAGAACATAGGACTGTAATGACAATTATAATAATTTTTCTTTTTAAAGAACAAACAGAACAAAATAATATAAAAACCTTTTCTAATTTCATGGTTAAGACACTTTTACGTCCACTAAAAAGAATAACAAAATAAAAATCCTCTTTGGGTCCAGGACTGGAATTGAAGTGGAGGTCTCCTAAGAAATCATCCTAAATTTGTTGGCCCTTAATCAACTTCCGAACAAGACCACTTTTTGCTAGTGTAGACGTTCATAAAGGGTCTTTGTCCGTTGACCTTAGGCGCTTATTTGATTAGAGCGGAATTGGCCTCGGACCGCGTAATTCGCCAAATCCGTCCCGAGGAGGGCATTTGAAAGCGGCTTAAAAGTGGCATTTGCGTTTTCCTTCATTTCCCACGCGGGTCGCAGGGCTATTAGGGCTGCTCCATCCAGCAGTGGTAATGCGCGGCTGGGACCGACCAGCGTCACCTGCCTGCACGCGCATCCGCAACCCGCTCGACGCCGGCGACACGCTGGCTGCCTACAGCTCGACCACTGCGCTTATTAGGCCCGAGTATTTTTAGCAGCGCCGGATCATTATTCGAGCGGTTGATTATTTTCACGGTCGGCTGATGCGTCGTAAGGTCACGGGGTCAATCCGATTTTCGTGATTCGCCTTGGAATAAATAAAAAATGTTCTATAAAAGCTCTTATAAGAATAAATTTCTAGAAAAGTAACAAAAAAAATTATTTATGTTAAAATAGGAGGACAAAAACACATGCTGTGTGTAATAAATTTCTGATGATGGAATTTAAAAAAGGTCAATTATATTAATTATTATATTCGTCTTAATTAATATCCAAGATGAAGAAAACCAAATTATTATTATTTGAATTATCTTAAAATGAAAAATGAATTCACCACGAGGTTTATTGTTATAAATCAACTCAACTCTTCACCTAAAATAAGACAGGCTCATAATTGCATAATATATATAATTCATAAACAAAGTAATAATAATCCCATGTTATGGTATTAAAAAAGTAAGACGAATGACGAGCAAGTATAACATTCTAATATTGTTATTGTCATTTCTAAATGATACACAACAGGTATTAATGTATTCTTTTATTTAAAAATTATAGCATGGTATTAAATAACACGCAATAAATTTTTGAAAATTATTTAAAAAAATAATTGCGTTAAATAAAACAATTAATTTAATTGTTTAATAATTCATGAACAAATTTTTAATAAAATAGTAGTAAATTTATTAATGTGAAAGCATCAAAATATAATTTTTTTTTTAAACTTCCTCGCTAGCAAAATTTATTATATTTGCATAAAAACTAAGATTTCTGAAATTCAATCTCTATAACACCTAAAATTATTGCTCTATATAAGAAATCAAACAGAAGACATTGAACGCGCTTTAACACATTGAATTATAGATGAATGCAGTTTGATTTGAGCTTATGTAGGAACAGGTTGAGGTCTGATTTTTTCTATTCCTCCCGCAAGTTGTATACTTCTTCGCCCGTGCAAGAGTCACAAATCACGCCGCGAGCCGTCTGTTGATAAAGGATTATATATTGAGACGTTCGTTCACCTGCCAGCGGGCTTTCCGCAGATTAGAACGAAGTGCAACCCAGCAACGCTCTCACCCTTTCCGTCTTTCTTCCGAGAGTGGCGAGAAAAGAAAAAGACTAATTTATACCTCAAGACAGTGATTAGCGTGGAAATAAATCGCCGTGCGATAGCAACGTGGGAGAGACGCCCACGAGTTCGGGAAAAAGTGCGGCTCCAAAGGGTAGATGGGGGAAAGTTTCCAGCTGCAGCTCTGCGAAGATTTGTGATATCTGATATGGATTGATCTTGTTGAAAGACGAAATCAGGAAAACATACAATCCGATTTCAAATAATCAAACAATAGAAAATTGTAAATTATCAGACAAATATAAAATATCAATCTTTGATACTAGACCCATGCCACCACTTAAATTCCAACTTTGGAATTTTACAACTAAAATTATTAACCAGTTCATTTGGAAAAATTGCATTTAAGAACAATTTATTCATATGTGATCATTTTGTTAAATTTTTTTTAATTTAAATATTAATATTTTTTAATTTCTCTAAATTTAAAAAAAAAATCTCATATGCCAAACCTGAAGTGAATCCCTGATTAAACCTATATTTTGCTTCTATGTTATAACATTTTTTCAACGTTACTATGACTGTGTTTTGTATTTCAGCATCGTTATATGGCCACATTATATTTTGATGAAAAAATATTAAAAAAAGTAAAAAAGTTTATTTGATGTACTGAAATAAATATTAATTTAAGATTGAAAAGAATTTAAAGCTTCGCAACTGGATGACCAGCGTTAAAATCCTATAAAGTTGCATGCCCAGCTTCCCATACTCATAAATTTCATATATATGTCTTGGCTGCTGGTATTTTGTGCTGACACCTGGATTTTCGAGTAGATCGCTGCCGTGAGAGCCTCTTCTTTCTGCTCCCTCTTGGCCCAAACCCACTCACTCCCAATCCAGAGCAAGGACTGCTGCGAACGAAAGATGAGAGGTGCGCTGGCATTCTCCTGGCGTCCTTTTGTGCTGAGTAAAATATTGACAGGCTGCTCTGATCGGTCGCTTATGTGGAAGTCTCATCGCAAAGAAACAAGGCTGATTCCAAATTTGAAAATTCCAACGGAAAAAAATCTTTAACGGATTACAGATTTGAAACGATCAAGCATTTTTGTATTTATAAGAAATGAGTTTTAGAACAGTTATTAGCTATTTTAAATTCTTGTTGAACTTAAAAATATTGCTTCCAGAACTTCTTAAAATAATTAAATAATTAAATGTATAAACTTTAACAACAGTTGAATAAAAATAATTTGGAAATTTTCCACCTGTTTTCAACTTTGTTTAAGATAATAGCAGATTCTTAAAAGTAATCGCAAAATGTATATAGTAGTGTTTTTTTTTTTTTCATTTCATACTTTGATTTAATATTTTTTTTTAAACATTTTTAGTCTGCAGATGACTCTGTTCAAGCAGAATGATAAATAAAATTGGTTGATTTTTCTTTCCAAATCACTATTTCCTTTGGTGGGATAACGATGTGGATTCTTCTTTTTGTCTCTCACGATGACTGATTGCCACGGAGAAAGCGTACGTATACTTTGGACACAAAAGCATTAGGAAAAACAAAGCCTCTTTCTCACTCTCGGCGCGAGCAATCTTTTTGTTGCCATAGCGACCGAGGGCGAAATGATTGACTGATTGCAATCGCAGAGCGCGAGAAAGGCGCTGCTCTTTTCCATTAAGAAATTGACAGCTGGGGTGTGTTTTTGGTCGGAAAAAAATATATATATACGCGCCTTTTTCTAAGCAATTTCCTTGTCCTAAACCACCAGAGGGAAAAAGTAAGGGAAATCAAATAATAATTAAATCGGATGACGACGGAAAGAGAAAAACAGATTTTGAAAGTAGAACATCGGTTTTATTCCTCGTCAAATGTACATTTTTTTCTGTTCAAATCTGCGTGTAGTTTGTTGATTTTTCCTCGTAACACTTCAAATTTATTAATCAGTGGCACAACAACGATCGCGAATTAATTTACAGCACGCGATGACAGAGAGTGCTCAATCTTTTTTTTCATTAATTTATTTCCATTCTTTCTTCCTGAAAGTTTTTTTTTCATGATTTATTTACACGTCAAACTGAAAACGTGACATGAAAATATTACAATTTGATTATACGTTTTTCACACTTTCATATGAATAGAGCAAAGGAGAGGAAACTGGCAACATTCAATAATCAATTAAATATATAGATTCCATAACGACTTTTTCATTTATAAACTCTGGACAGAGCAGAAGGAAAAACGTAAATGGGAGGGATATGTACTTTTGATTTTGTCTACAAAATCGTTTGACGCAATTATATAACAGTGTATTTTCTGTAGGTACAGCTTTAAAATCTTCGTGTCTGAAGCTTCTTCTCAATTATTTTGCCTTAACGCTAGACCCATGTTGAAAATAGCTAGTGTATATATACTTATATTAATACATAACGAATCGTAATCTTACAATCCTATAATTAAGCCCTAAGAGTTTCAATAATACTCGCCGCGTGTCCGTGAGAGTAGGTCGATCCGGAGAGAGGCTACACGTAAGCTTCTTTTTTTTACAAACACATTTCTTTTTTTTAAACACACACGAAAGGGAGTTTAACAAGTTGGACACTCTCGCGATTGATCACTTCTTCCAATCAGGATTAAATTTATTCTCGTCCTGATCAAAATGCATTTTAATTCAATGATTAGATTTAGGAAGTTTCGAAATTCCTGCTTTGTCCTGCCTTATTTTGGACTTTCTGGAGTAAAAAGTACCAGCGTGTGAAATTTATTTTTCTTAAGATTGGTGTTACGAAATCTTTCTCAAAATCGTTTCGAAGCGCGGTTTCGGTTTTTCACTTTAAAGCTCAGGATATATATTATTTGTATTATTTAGCCAGATGTGAAAGTAGATTGATTGATTATCTCTTTAGGAGAAGATTTTATTTACTGCGATATGATTGCGGAAATTCGTCGATCTCGTCGGAAAAAATTGAGGAGAATTTCAAAGATCCTCTTTCATTCCTCTCGCGGTAGGTATTTTTGGTTTGTTTTGTCTATCATAGAAACACGAAGATGACAAGAGAGAAAATTACAAGGTTAAATTTTTATAGTCATGAACATGCAGAGGTTAAAGGTTTTCAATAGCCGTAGAGAGCAATTTAAGTGAGGTTGTGTGTGTGCTAGAGAGCAAATTTCGACATTTTTAAAAGTTCAATCGACAAGCGAAAATCTCCTACAGATCGAGAATTATTTCCACTAACGCCAGACACATTAAAGCATTTTTATTTATACTTTCTCTCATAGTGAGTATTTTTCATGAAACCCCCCTAAAAAACGCGCACTCCACCAGGGGAGTCAATTCATATCACGTTCTTATCAAAATTCGCAAAGCTTTTTTATTGTTTACATTATGCATTATAAATAATCAACGATCGAGAGCAGAGTGAAAGCATACGGAATGTATTGTAGTTTGTATATTATTTCCCCAAAAATGCACTGGCAAATTAAAGTCAAAGGTAGACCCCTCTCGATTGTCAAGAAAAAAATGGAACATAACAATATTAGCTTTTCTATCAACGCGACTAGAACGGACTTGCATTTTATTTTGTGTTTATTTTATTTTCAAAAAATAGTTTTATAAAACGAAGAAAACAAAATCATTCTATTTGAGATTTATAGTTCTTTTAAAAATGTAATTTCTGTTTTTTCCTTCAAATTGAAATAAAACATATTTATTTCAAAATCATTAAAAAGAGAAATATTGCACAAGATCCACTTTAATCCAAACATAAAGCGCAGCTCGCAGAGCAGGTTGAAGTTCTGCTGCAAACTCATTTCAATTCAAGTCTATGAATATGTCAACTGGAATCAACTCTGCTATGCATATACTTGTAAAATGCGCAATACTTTTTCATCGGAATATAAAACCCAACGACTTTTCTCAGCACAGGGTTTTAAATTATATAAAAACCAAGTTTCTTTAGAAATTCTTTTCCATTAAAAAACAAATTATGCAAGTCTCGCCCTGCACGCTTGGTAAAAAAAAGTTGAGGAAAGGTCTTGACGGAGCACCTTGAGTAGAGATAGATCTTCTCTCACTACGTGTAATGCGGTACGTACAGCCGAAAGGATGCTGACAAAGAGTAGTCTCTGTCGTGCGTTTGTCTTTCACATATGTAGACACAAGCACTGCTGAACTCTTTCAAAACGGAAAAGCAGTCGAGACGCAACGCACTTCTACCACAAATCATCAAACACTGCAAACGAGCTACGGATGTCTTCATTCTGAAACAAGAGCAATGAAAATATTCATTTTAAATTTGTCTCCAAAATCATTGAAATTAAATATGTACATCAGTAGTAATTTTAAAAATATTTTGTTTAAACATTTAAATTTTGAAATATCGTGAAACGATTTCAATTTTATTTACATTAAATATAATAATTTTAATATATTTCCAAGATGCTGAATTTAAGAATGGAAAATGTTATATTTTACTTAAATTCACTTTTCGCTCTTCCGGCTTTTCTCTCTGACAATCAATTTTGCACAAGTGCTTTTGCAAGCCCAATATTTGCTTTGGCGCACACAAGTCGGCCACATACCGCGTTCGCCGACATACAGAATTAAAGCAGGTGGGCGCCAACTCAGCCGCAGCCAAGCTTTCGCGCACTGGCAATCTCCGTGAGAGACTACTTTTGTATTATTTTCTCTGTGCGCCCGCGGGAATGCCGCAAATGAAGCTGCGGATCATCCCGGCAGCTGCGACAAAATGTATGTGCCGTGCGCGAACAGCAGAGGAATGCGCTCTTTGTGTTTTATTGCCTCGGTGCTCTCTGCTGTATTATCGCGGATGACGTTCTCTCACAGTGCATTTTTCTCTCTAGCTCTCTGTGGCGGTGGCAGCGGCGTGTCACCGGAGAGCTCGAATTTGCACCACCACTGGAACTAGGTTTCCATTTTATTAACTGGCTTGATAATGAGCTAAAGGTGTCCCGCACAGAGCTAAATTTTTATTAACATGCGGCTTGATTAAAAAAAAGAGAGATAAAAAGATCAATATTAAAATTTTTACTTTTTTAATTTTCTATTTTCCTACTCATTTAGCTTATTTTCATTATTGTGAAATTCTTTTGAAAATTATTTAATATTATAAATGAAATTTTAAGAGTTACTTCAATTTGAAAGTAATATAATTTAATATAATCATTTTTATTGAAAACATGAAATTTTATGTAATGAATTTGAAATGATACAAAATATTTGTTAAACCTGTAGAGAATACCGTAGCAAAATTTATTAATTCATTTATAATTTAAAAAAAAAACATTCTGGCAAGCTTTATAAAATTTGTAAAGAAAAGAAGTTAAAATTAAAAAAAAATATCCCCTTTTAAGATAATCAATAAATAATAATTAAAAACGAATATTTTTATATATTACAAAAAATCGCCTTACCATTGGCACGAAATAAGATACTTTGATTATTTTATATTTTATGAAAGTTTAAGAGAAAAATAAATTACTATTTCTCATTCCAATCAAAATTGATTGATTCTGCACAAAGATATTTGAATATATTAAATATATTTATTCTTTATAATTGAAGAAATTCATTTCAAATTCTAACTCAAAGTCCTCAGTATGCAGATTCTTCCTGGAATTGGCTTATTCTCTCCGGCTCGTTAACCTTCAAAGCGCTCAATTTACGCAAATTAGTCTTGCAACACGTGCTTGAAAATTCTATCCCTGCCGCGTGTTGTAAAACTCTGGTCTAAATTTAAACCAGAGGGCTCTCGGAAGAAAGCGAGTGAGCGACGGCTTAATTTGCAAAAAATCCGCGCCTCGTTTAATCTCCCCTGGAAAGTTTTGCAGGTATGGCTTGCGGAGAAGGACTAATTAATATTCAGCAAATCGTGTTTGCAAGGCAAATTGCGAGGGAGCGGAGTGAGTTTGCGGCTACTTTTCTATCTCGGAAGGGGCTGCATCGATCGTTTTCGGCGCCCGCCGAGAGGAAGCTCTTAACAAACGCCGCCGCCTTAACACCTCATTTAAGGCTGAACGAATAAGTTGGCGTGCTGCAGCTTTTGATGAGCTGTTTATAATTTGGCGCGGCCGTCGTCGTCACGCGAAACGCACTGCTGCTTGCCTCTCTCGCAACAGTACGTGCGCTAATAATGATAATAACACGACTCCGCCACCTCCGCTATTAAGGGAAAACTTTTTGAGCTTAAACAGCCGGCGCACTCGAGAGCCGGCGGTTTAGCCCTCAAACTCGTCCCAACTGCAACGGAAGCGACTGCTGCAAATTGTGAAACTCGCTCTGGGCACGGGTCGCACCCGATTCGCTCCAAACTTTCAACTCGCATTTGAGCGAGATGGGATGAAACTAAAATTAAACCCAGATTTAATTTTTTCCTTAATTGGGAGCAAATTTATTTAATTTAAACTGGAAATAAAAACGACAGAGCCTACTTTTTTATAGCTCAATTTTTATGACACCTACAAATTTTAATTTTTATGAAAGAGATTATAATGAATTTATTATAAAGATTATGTAAAGCAAAAATAAATTAAGCTTATTTAATGTATTTGACAATACATTTATTTCATCAGAATTAAAAGAATTTTTAATTCAAGAATTTGATATTGTTGTTTCTATTACGCAAGACCTTAATAAACCAGTGATAATTAATATCTTGTCGGCGGGAGTGCTACGTGAAAATCTTACTTACAATTAGTTTACATTCAACCAGAAGCTTCCTTAATAACCCCTGAGCACATTCTCATTTTTTCTTCTTGATGGAATGATAAATATATTTAAGTCTGACAAAAATATTCTTTTTTTCATTCTTCATATGTATATATCATTTTTATAGAAAAAAAATTCTCTCCTAATTCGTCGCAAATTCGTCATATTTCAAAATCTCTCGCGGTAGAAGCAGCCGTTTTTTGGGGAATAAAATTAAACAGGCTTGTCTCTGTGGGGTTTTTCGTCATAAATCCCGAGCAAAATCCCCTTAACTCTCGCCAGCATTTAAATAAATACCTTCAAAAAATATATGAATCGAATACCGCACCTTCACTACACGGTTTTTGGTTCAGTAAAATAAATAATGCGAAATTTTTTATTATTTTTCACTACGCCCGCACTCCGATTAATTTGGCAAAATGTTTAGTGGTGAATTGCGAGAGGCTCAAACTCCAACTAAGCAAACAAACGTGCCACCGTCTAAACAACGAGCAACTTTACTCTCCAGCAGAGTGTATGATTGGACCAATTACTTTCTGCAGAAAATTGTGATGGATGAATTTCCTCAAATATTGTTTACATTTTGAAATAATTATAAATGAATACACTCTGAAATGAAAAATATAGTAATTGGTATAATGTGAATAAAATTAATAATGTTTGGATAAATCACTGTTGATGTTCAATGCATAGGCTGTTTTTTCCATTAAATGAATTTTTATGTATTTCAAATGCCTTCAGTTGAATATTTTTGGATTATATAAAATGGACTTTTGAAACTTAGTTGTTACATTATTTTTTAATTATTGTTTACCATAGTACCAGAAGCGTAGAAGCCAATTATTTTTTCTAATATCTCATAATATATCAATTTTCCCCCATAAAATGTACCTTCTAATTGGTAAAAAATGACCTATTTTTTACTTACCATTGAGCAATAGTCGATGAATTCATCAACCGTGATGACTCCGTCGTTATTTAAGTCCAATTTCTGAAACAATATTAACCAAAATTGAGCAAAACTCTAAAAAAAATCTCAACCAACTAATAATGTATTAAAGTATTTTACTGATTGGTCGGATGTTTAAAGGAGACCGTTTTGATAGGGATCGTTTGCGTCTTACCTGAAATATTCTTTCCACGTGATCCTTGGACGCCTCGTCGGGCAGCACACCAGGCTCCGAGTGAGAGGCGCCCATCAAGTCGTAAATGGCCGTGATCACCGTCGTCATTTCCTCGCGGGTGATGCAGCCATCGTTGTTTACGTCGTACAAACTGCAAGCACAAACACACAGACGGACGGCAACTGATTAAAATCGTGATCCGACTTGCAAACAGACAGGAACTAAAGCGCATGCAAATATGAAAAATAATATTGTAAAACCCACAGTACACGGAACAACACGACGAGCAAACAAAAACAGGATAAATTTGATGCTGCCTTTGGATGTTGCTCTGGGAACGAAAAGATAATAAAATCAAGAAAGAATGGCGGAGCATGGTGAGTTTTCATAATGGGTTTTCTTTCTTATTTATGAAGCTCTGCAAAAAGAAATCCAACGAAAAACTAAAAAAATATTTAAAAAGATTTCCGCCAAATTATTAATCTGAATATTTATTTAGTTAAACTATTTGACTTTCTGGAATAAAAAAGGTGTATATATTTATTTTGGTGTGCTGAAAGTAATTTAAATCTCAGTAAAGTTGTAGAAAAGATATTAAAATTGGAATATTTTTATGTGCTAATTTAAGCATTTGACAAAAAAAAACATCGTGTTCTAGCAAAAATACCTCTTCGATTGAAGTCTTAAACAATTATTCAATTATTTCTAGAGGAAGATTGTGATAGTGATGGGCAAAAAGTACCGGTACTTTTACGAGTACCCAAAGTAACTCATTTTTTTAAGCGCCTCGAGAAAAATTTTCGGCTGAAAAAGTCGTCTAAATATGTGAATTTTGGTCCGATTTTGACCAAATTTTTTTTTATTTTTCTTTGGCATATTTTCGAAACCAATTCAGTAAAAAAAATTTTAAAATACAAAAAATTTCCTTTCCTATTAGGCATTTAAAATTAGGGTTTTTGAAAATTTTTAAAATTATATATCTCTCTGGTTCCTGAAGTAACAGACACTTAAATCCAACGTTTTTGATGAACTAGTGTTGATGCCAATGACAATTAACAATGGCCACGCCATAGCCATGCCATGGCCACGCCATAGCCACGCCGTAGCCATGCCATGGCCACGCCGTAGCCATGCCATGGCCACGCCGTAGCCATGCCATGGCCACGCCGTAGCCATGCCATGGCCACGCCGTAGCCATGCCATGGCCACGCCATAGCCATGCCATGAACACGCCACGGCCACGCCAAAGCCATGCCATGGCCACGCCATAGCCATGCCATGGCCACGCTTTAGCCATGCCATGGCCACGCCATGAAATTATTATTCTCAAGAAGAAACCATTATATATGAAGAATCACGCAGAAAAAAAAAATAATATTATATTGATATCTAAGTTGTTATTATTAATAACAATAAAATTGTAAGTATAATCATTGATTTAAAAAAAAAAAAAAAAAAAATGGAAACTCTTTAAGCATTTCATCAAATATAATAATAGTTAGTAAGTCTTATAATAATTTCAATATATGGAAATGGAAAAATTTACCAGATCCATGCAACTTCAATTATTGGAATTATGGTGATTTGAATTTAAAATCCACGTCCGAGAAAATTTTGTTGGTCAGATCAGACTCGCCTGACGCGACTGACTCGCCTGACGCGACTGACTCGCCTGACGCGACTGACTCGCCTGACGCGACTGACTCGCCTGACGCGACTGACTCGCCTGACGCGACTGACTCGCCTGACGCGACTGACTCGCCTGACGCGACTGACTCGCCTGACGCGACTGACGCGACTGACTCCATAGCCATGCCATGGCCACGCCGTAGCCATGCCATGGCCACGCCGTAGCCATGCCATGGCCACGCCGTAGCCATGCCATGGCCACGACATAGCCATGCCATGGCCACGCCATGAAATTATTATTCTCAAGAAGAAACCATAATATATGAAGAATCACGCAGAAAAAAAATAATATTATATTGATATCTTAGTTGTTATTATTATTAACAATAAAATTGTAAGTATAATCATTGATTTTCTAAAAAAAAAAAAAAAATGGAAACTCTTTAAGCATTTCATCAAATATAATAATAGTTAGTAAGTCTTATAATAATTTCAATATATGGAAATGGAAAAATTTACCAGATCCATGCAACTTCAATTATTGGAATTATGGTGATTTGAATTTAAAATCCACGTCCGAGAAAATTTTGTTGGTCAGATCAGACTCGCCTGACACGACTGACTCGCCTGACGCGACTGACTCGCCTGACGCGACTGACTCGCCTGACGCGACTGACTCGCCTGACGCGACTGACTCGCCTGACGCGACTGACTCGCCTGACGCGACTGACTCGCCTGACGCGACTGACTCGCCTGACGCGACTGACTCGCCTGACGCGACTGACTCGCCTGACGCGACTGACTCGCCTGACGCGACTGACTCGCCTGACGCGACTGACTCGCCTGACGCGACTGACTCGCCTGACGCGACTGACGCGACTGACGCGATTGACGCGACTGACTCGCCTGACGCGACTGACTCCATAGCCATGCCATGGCCACGACATAGCCATGCCATGGCCACGGCATTAACATTCATGAGGTCAACCCATTAGTACTCAATGGTTAAGGGTACCGTGTATACGCAATATCATATGTCTTAAGGGTTTAAATCAGCAATAGTACAATTTTCTATATTGAAAAATTGGACTTTTAAAAATAAAGCTATTTAATAAATGATAAATTATTTTATTTAAAGTCACATCAAGTATGAAACAATTAAGTAATCTAGAGTTTAATTAATGAAAATTAAAAAATAATAATTTCTTGGTCTGGTTTGTCATTATATGACCTGATCTTAAGAAATCTCAATTTAATTAGCAAAATCTTGATGCAGTGAAAATTTAACTAAAAATCAATATTAATGATTTTTTCAATGCCATAGACAAGAACCTTCTGAAAGAAATTAAAAAAAGAAGGAAAAAAAATAAATTTAGCCGCTATGTAAAAATAAATATCGATAAAATTTTATTGTAGATTTAACGCGGCGGGCGCGGTGGCTGAGTCTCATTATAGCATTTTAGCAGACCAAATTACTTCTCTTTTTAAAATATTTATTGTTTTGTAATGACCGAGAATAATAAATAAATTTTAACGGAGAATAAATAAATTAAGTAAGGAAATTCAATATAAAATATTTTTCTCACATCTGGACTATAAAAAATTTCTGAATCATTGTGCGTGTATTTATATTTTTATTACAGTTTATACTTCTCTAGTATATAAAAAATTGAAAAGTAAAAATGAGAAGAAAAGGGTTTATCACAACTAGCAGAGGCCAGTTAAAATGCCGAACAACAAAAGAGACACACAGCCGCCGCGGTGAAATACACACTTATCGTGACTATTGTGAAAAACAATAATAAAAGAATAATTTTTGCTAGCAGACCATTAATAATCTTTGACTCGTTTAAATAATTCAGGTTCATCTAATTGATTAAAAATTAAAACTTCATTTATTTATTCTATAATTTAATTGACAAAACCTGATTATTTTTTTACCATCTATTTTCTAATATTCTTTTCTGAAGCATTTTCAGCGAAAAATGGCCTAAATACAAACCAGAATTATACACTTGTAAATTAAATCAATTTTTGGTCACTTAAGGTGAGGTACAGTACGCATATAATATAAAATGAAATTAACAAAAGTATTTCATAATTTTAAATAACTGCAAATACTTATATTTGTGCTGCGCGCTTCAATATTAATTAAAATTGAATGTAATAAAAAATAGCCAAGGAATGTATTTAGTTATAAAAAACATTACAATTTTAAGGGATGTTTGTTAAATGTACGTGAAATTGAAACTCGGCATTTAATTTCAGTGAGTTGTAAATAGGACGAGACTATTTATCTTTTAGCTAAAATTTTTAATATGGTCAGAGATCAACATTGATATGTCAATAGAGATAGATATGCATAAAATTTAATTTGTTTAGAAAAATCCAAAAAATCATTTTAAAAAAAGTTTAAAAGCAAGTTTGGAAAAGAATCTTTTTTTATAGGCTGCCTCTTTTCAGGTGAGTCGCTTATAAGTTATATGATTGCTATATTTATGAGTTATGAGCATAAAATTAAAAATTTTAATGTGTGCAACATTAGTGTAAATGTTTTGTGATGTTAGATTATTATTATTTTTTTTGCTTACGGCTGCAGTACGGCGAGTATTGAGGGCGGAGGCAGATTTCTTGTTTGTCTCAGTTCAATGATGTATGAGTTTCAGTGAGTTGTTCACTAGTACTGTAAGCCTATTTCTCCGTAATGTAAATTTTTGACTCAGATGCTTTGACTTGTTGTGGAGAAATAAAACGAGTTGAATTGAATTAGTATTATCAAAAACGGCATAAAATTTTGTTTTTAAGAAACGCATTTCATGGTAAATCAAATAATAAAAATTAAATTATCCAAAACACTTTGGACGAATGATGACTCTTGGAAATTCTTATATTGTTGTGTTAATATTACAACGCTACGAAACAGTAATATTTATAGCACATAGACATCATGCATTTTTTTTTTATGGAATGTGTTTTTTTATAATACAAAATTACAAAAAAATTTGTGGTAATTGAAATTTACAAACAACTTACAATTAAAATAACGCAAGCTGCGCCTATTGTAACAATAAGTATATTTAATTTGCAAAAAAAATTATTATACGCCAAAATTTATTATTGCAGTTGCCGCGCATATAAGTTTGCCACGCAAATAATTTTTTTCCGCAGTTTTTCCGTTTCGTTTTGTTTGTTGCAGCTTTTCCTTCTTACTATAGAAGGCTATTGCTTTCTGTTGTGATGCGCAACTTAGATGACGATTGGAATTTTTTATTAAAAATCAAAGCATTATAAATTCCAATCATTTCATTTCATTTAACTTATTTATAGGAATAAATTCAAAAAAAATATCAACTCCAAATCTTATACCTGTAAAGCGGTCACAGACACTCCTATTAGTTGAATTAAATTGTTTAAGGATCTAATTTTAAAATAATTTAAACAATTTAGTTGTTGTGTTTACACAAAATTGAAACTTAAATGATAGTACTCAAAAATTTTTTATTAGATATAATAATTCCATGTTGATCCTTAAAAAGTAACGCATTTTATTTTTTTTTCGTCTTCTCTGTGCAAATATAATTTTAGTAATTTTACTCGCAAAAAATATTGGAGTCAAGGATTTTTCCTCACCTAAGACAATCCATTGCACTTAAATTATATCTGATTGTCTGGTATCTGGTTAAGTGTTAAAAATCAATTTAATGCAAATAAAGAACATATTTTTGCTTAAAAAAAAAAACTCAAGTAACTCTCACGCACAATACACATTACTGATATAATATGATATTCTGCAATCACGGTCAAGTTCTATATAGTAAAAATAGCTCTGTACAAACAAGTAATTTGCGAATTGAGAGGGCAATCCAGTCCAAAAGACTAACCTCTGTGGCCCAAAAGCCAACTTTAATTTTATTACTTGAATCATTTAATTTTAATAAAAACAATAAAATATTTTATTTCACATTCAAAAGTTAACAAAAAATTCTAATAAATTATATCAGACAGATAATTATAATTTAAAATTTAAATGTTTCTAAGGATAATAAATTGGAATTGAAACATTAAATTTTGAGCGCAGGAGCAAGTTGGCCTTAGAAATATGTATTTAACATTACATTGAAGAGGGCAACAAAGCAATACTAAAACTGCCTTATAATATGTAGTGTTTTTTTTACGTCAACAAAAGCCAGTATATTCGGCGAGCTCATAAATTTTCAAAATTTATTTTTCAACCCACTAAAATAATGATTTGGAGTCAAAATTTTCAATTGTTTGAAGCTCAATAAGGTACAGAAAGTGACCTGGAACACCTGTTTTTCAAATTTTATCGATTTTTGACCTCTATAAGTGGTTTTTTCGGTAATCTAAAGGTTTTTGAGAAATTTTTAATTTTTCGAGTACTCGAGTACCCGGTTCTTGGAGTACCGAGTACTTTCAGAAAATACTACCGAGTACTTTCAAGTTGAGTACCGGTACCGGGAGTACCGAGTACTTTGCTGAGTACCGCCCATCACTAGATTGTGATATTGTCCTTTAGTCAATGCAAGGGAAGGGAACGTATTAAATAAAATCTAATTAGCTATCTATGCAACGCAGTTGAGGATCTAATATTTCACCTTAAAAAAATTTATTCTAATGCTCATCAAGTTCATAATATATATTCAAATTATTATAATTTTTGCAGCTTGAACCATGCATAAAATTTTATTTCTATTCCTTTTTAAAAATGAAAATAGCTATAATATGTGATATAATAATAAAAATAATATAATATACATTATAAGTTAATATCATGTAATAATATAATAATAATAATATAATTTTTTAATCTTTTTCTTTTGTTATTAATTTGGATGAGTTTATGTAAGGGGTATAGTTGCCCTTAATTTTGACCCAATACAAATTCCTGAAACTGATATGGACTTTTGCAAAAAAAAAATTAATTTTATTTATGGTTTAATGTTCATAAAATTATCGAAAAAAATTTTTGGGGAGGGTCAACTTAAAATAAATTGATCATTGCTATTGCTAATGAAAATGGCAAATAAAAATTTTATTTAAAGATATATTGCAGCTATTTTTTTATCTAATTTAGTGATTTCCACAATTCATGATTATGTTAGAAGGAAACAAGGGCGACCAATCCTCAACCCAAAAAAGTGGCACCAAGTAAAAAAGTCGCAATCCGAGCTGGAAATCGATTGTTTCCTTTTCGCCGTGAGCGACGGTATTATTTATTTGCGATCCACCAATTTCATTTCTTGACATTTTCCCTCCACCGTGCTTTGGCGATTTGTCAGCCGAGATGAGAGATGCTCCGATTGTTCGCTCGCCGAATAAATCTTGTCGCAGCACCGCCCGCCATAATATTAAAAAGCGGTTTCCTGCTCTTGGTCGGAATTTACGGTGGGCGGCGGCTGCTGCATAAATAAAAAATTTCTTGCCACGCGGCGGCGTCATTGGAAGATAAATGCCGTTAAGTGAGACAATCCAGAAGCGTGCGCCGTGTTTTGATTCAGAAATAGCTGCCGCGGCAAGGGCAGGAAATCACTTTGGTGAACTAATCACATATCTGACGACAGCCAGCAACCCTTTCACAAAAAGAGAGAAAGAGAGAGAGATGCGCTTTTTCGCTATTTTTGACGTGAAGCAGCGCGCACGTTTTTGAATTGCTAATTTTTCGCTCACTTGCAACAGATGTTGCTGGGGTTTTCAGCTCCAGCCTGAATTTGCACTGTGACAGACGGACGGCTCTTGTGAAATTGGAAATAAAAACGCTTCACGTATGGGAAATTCCTCACTTCTCTGTTCTACTTTAGAGAACTCTCATGTACCTGTGCATCATCATAAATTTATATACATATTACATATTTTGACCTATAAGTAAAATTTCCGTTGAGTACAAATTTTTCATATCTTTAGAATGTTTTAATTTTCCCTATTATCAGTAAAAATGTAATAAATTTTTATAATAATTCTAGATCAATATGATGAAAAATAAACCAAGTTATCTTGAATTTGACATATAAATATCTGATATTAAGAATTTAAATTTATTCTCCAGATTTACTAAAAAACAAGCTTTTCATAATTTTTTAACATGCATCAAAATCCGTCATAATAATTTTTCTGAAAAACAATTAACAAAATAATAAATAAAAATGCCAAATAAAAGAATAAAAAATGTCTTGTCTCTTAAATCATACTTATAAATATTAAACATTAAATATTTTTTGAACTGATTTAATGAACTAATTTTATATTTTTAGATCAAATATTTAAAAAAAAAATTGTTTATTTCAAAATCAAAAAGGTGTGATGACAGGTACATCTACTCTTCGTAAAATGTATAAGTTGCATTATTTTAAAAATCATGAACATCGAGGACTTTTTGAAAAAATTTCAGTGGCCATTAGTAATCCATAACGCAATTTTGTATATAGCTTTCCTTTTTCCTTACTTTATTATTACTATTATTTATCATGTTTTTGAAAAAATTAATTTTTTTATCGGGCAGCTCGAATGTTTGTTTCTAAAGAATACAATGATCTTTGAAGAAAATATAATCAATGCGAAACCTAACAAATTTCTCCAAATGGCTAAATCGGAGATGTGGGGGATTTAAAAACCGGGTTTTGTGTATAAAAAATTAGATAAAAAATTGCATGTTTGATTAGAAAAATGAGTCTTACCTGAATGCCCATCGCAGTCGTTCCTGCAATGAACCTTTGACTAACACAGACAGACCGAGCATGAAATCACCAAATGTGATAGTACCACATTTCTCACGGTCCAGGGTACTGAATACATAATGCGCGTATTGGCTGGAATCTGCAAGCAAACGAAACAACTAGAGTTAGTTTGTGTTGTTTTGTCGGCAGCTGTGTGAGAAATTCGATCTGCTATACGCAACAACAAACATCCACACCAGCAGCAGCACTTTGGAATAATATGCGGATTATATATTGAATGACCGCTTAGCATGCATCACAAGAGCGAATGGAGATTGTGGCTGCGCAGCTCGGGATCAAATTATGCGGCACTTAGGGTCTGCGCTCAATGTGCTTAGATATTTGTATGCGTGGTTATTGCTCAATCAAATCACGGCGAACAAGTGCCTGCCCGCCGGCCTCTAGGGTAATGTTGATCAAATATAATGTTTCGGAAACGGTGGAGAGCTTATAGTTCATGTTTGCCTATAATCGGTTGGTATTATTTGAGATTAGCAGAGTAAATTATTCAGTCATCAGAAATCAACTTTGCACATTTAACATAAATTATAAATTGTTTTAACTATTGCGATAGTGGTTTTTATTAAAGAGCAAATCTTTTCAGGATCACATAGGTCCCCCCAAAATGGAGGTAACTGTCTAAAAATTGCACAGGTCATTCCTCATGGTTTGAAAGTAGGCTCCCTAAATTTTTACAAAAAAATTTTCAAAATTGCGGGTTTTAAGGGGCATTTTGAAAAATCCAAAAAACAAAAATAACTCGGCTTCCTGTGATCCTACAATAAAAATCTGGACATATTTGAACACGTCTTATCAAGTTCTACAACTATTCTGTTGACTCCAAAATTCTAGGTCAAAGTTCAAGGTCACGAATTTTAAAATTAAATTTTCAAATTCAAAATGCGAAGCCAGGCTCACGTCAAAATAAAAAATTAAGATAGCCATTCGATTCCTTGTTAAATTTTATGTAACATAAGTCGAAATTGCGCCGTTACTCTTTGTAGTTGAATTTAAAATTAAATAAAAATATTTAAAAACGTGGTTTTTTGCACCCCGAGACACGCATTCAACACAATTCACGTAAATAACTCGATTTCCATTAGTTTTAGACTATAATTGATGATGACAAATATTGTTGCCCATAAAAAGACGATTCCAAAAATATGCATAACGATGACCTTTGATGACCTTGGTTCAAAGGTCACCTTGACCTTTGACCCAGGGTGACCGAAACGTGATGTGCGATATATAGTTAGAAAGATCTCATCAAGACAAATATTTTAGACACCAAGTTTTTGATTCTAGCTACAAGAAAATGTAATTAAATGGATTTTTAATTCATTATAACTCGATTTTTACGGGATGTGTGCCGAAAAATTAGGTTTTTTGTATTTAAATAAGCTTTTAAATGACGTAGAATCAAAAACTTGGTGTCTAAAATATTTGTCTTGACAAGATCTTTCTAACTATATATCGCACATCACGTTTCGGTCACCCTGGGTCAAAGGTCAAGGTGACCTTTGAACCAAGGTCACCAAAGTTCATCGTTATGCATATTTTTGGAATCGTCTTTTTATGGGCAACAATATTTGTCATTATCAATTATGGTCTAAAACTAATGGAAATCGAGTTACTTACGTGAATTGTGTTGAATGCGTGTCTCGGGGTGCAAAAAACCACGTTTTTAAATATTTGTATTTAATTTTAAATTCAACTACAAAGAGTAACGGCGCAATTTCAACTTATGTTACATAAAATTTAACAAGGAATCGAATGGCTATCTTAATTTTTTATTTTGACGTGAGCCTGGCTTCGCATTTTGAATTTGAAAATTTAATTTTAAAATTCGTGACCTTGAACTTTGACCTAGAATTTTGGAGTCAACAGAATAGTTGTAGAACTTGATAAGACGAGTTCAAATATGTCCAGATTTTTATTGTAGGATCACAGGAAGCCGAGTTATTTACGTTTTTTGGATTTTTCAAAATGCCCCTCAAAACCCGCAATTTTCAATTTTTTTTTGTAAAAATTTAGGGAGCCTACTTTCAAACCATGAGGAATGACCTGTGCAATTTTTAGACAGTTACCTCCATTTTGGGGGGACCTATGTGATCCTGAAAAGATTTGCTCTAAATTGTTGTTCAAAATCAAAGAACTTCAAATTCAATTAATAGATTTGATATTTTAAAATTTTCAGCTAAATTTTTAAGTTACATAATTAATTAAACATGTTGCTTCAATAATTTTAGATTTAGGATGATTATTTGATTATTTAACATTTTGTATGTGTATAAAAAAAAGTAGCAATTTTCAAATTGAGTCAATTTTTTAAATTATTCTTTGAAATTAGCCTTAAAATCCGAAATTTTCCTAAATTACACTTATTTTATTGATCGGACCAGCTTTTATCCAGCTTTTATCCATTTTTGATTTAAAGTTTGTCATTAATTCCCAATTAAAAATTAATCCAACACACCTCCGGCAATTGTCATTAGTTCCGTTGTTCCATAAAGTTACTTCAGAGGAGGCTAAGGAGGTCAAAACTCTAGTTGAAGAAACGGAGCGACACCCGTTGCGCGAAGAGAAAAGTTGCTCGCGTTTGCGAAAGCGATTCTTATTAACCGCTGACGGTGGCCCGAAGTCATTGCAAACCGAAACTGCTTCCCTCTCAGCGAACGATAATTGAACCGAAATTTAATTGCGCTCGCCTGCCTCTCCGACGGCGGTGTAATGACGTTATTACAAGAGAAGAAGCTGGCAATCAATTAGTGCTCCACACACGCGCCTACACACTAAGTAAGTCAGAAAGGGTGAGAAAGTTATGCAGCCAAAAAGATGTTCTCCAAATGCTTATTTGGAGCCCGAGGAAGCCTTTTTAATGTATTACAAAAGAACCAGAGACTGGTCCGGTTTTCTTTCAAATCAAAAATTATGAAATACAAAACTCTGCAGTTTTCTTAATCAGAATTATTCATCATCATTAATTGTAAAAAAAAAATTTGAGATAAAATTTATTTTTCCGTAGGTTTCAATGTAAATATTTACATTATTTCTCATCATATGGAAAATATAATATATTTTCCATTTTAAAATATTATTTTAAAATGAAGTATTATAATATTTTTTAAATAAATTGAATCTGAAGAATATTATTTTACTCCTCAAAATTCTGTCTTTTAATTTCAGGGCAACTGCAAATTTTGGCAATTTGAATTGTATACAATAAAAAAAAAATGAAGTCAAATTTATAATCTAATGAAGCCATTTAAAAAAATCTCCACGTCGTCAAGATGCTGCAAATTTATGTGTGTAAATTTTTTATGCGCCACGGCCATTCCTCGTTTCATGTAATTTACATTTTAATCGAATTGCTGCGTCTCTCTCTACACCGAGTAGTGCGGCGGCGGCTCCTCGGCTAAATGAATTTGCATAAAACGAACGGCAGCATCATCGTTATTAATTTAGCGGGCGCTCATTGAATTTCCCTATGTACTGTTCCTTTGCTCAAGAACGAGCGAGTTACGACTTAGGACGGTCTATATTGCGTTTTTGTCTATTTTAAGTAGAGACACGTTGACACAAAATAAATATTTTCTGTAAATCTAGACTGAATTTTAGTTTCAACAATAATTTTCCATCAGAAAAAGGATATTTTGAAATAAATAATATATAATTCACAAAATACCCAAACAATTTTTAATATAAAAAGTGATTGCATAAAAAATTTAGCAAAATTGACCTTCATTTAACATTTTAAAACAAGTGACTACTTTTCTGGTAATTTTTTAGTTAAAAATCATTATTAATTGATATAGCTTATTAAATTATTATAATTTAAAAGCAATAAGAAGAGACAGGTATAAGGTATAATTTATCTTGGCCTGTCATATTCAGAAAACAAAACTCTTGCTTGCAGCACCCGGTGCACGAACAGGAACATTTACTTTCGATAAAGTGGAGCAAAAAGCTTATTTAATTCCGTCTTGTGTTTGACGAATTGAGATAAAATGCAAATGAGCGCAGTTCGAATGCACTTGCAAAACATTAGCATGCATCAGGTGAAATATGCAAATTTCAGCCTGGTTCAGCAATTTTAATAAATAATAAAAATGAGCGTGGGTTTTTTTAGCATCCACGCGTGAAATTAATTGTAATGAAACACGCTGGTTACTGAAAAGTTGCACCCGCGACTTGAACCGCTTGAACAAAACGACCCACTGGTGCGGAGGAAAAAGAAAGAATCTGAGCAAGTACTCAGCGTAATTGCCCCTGCGCTGTGTGATTGCTCAGTTTGCAATTTAAAGCGCAAGTTCAATTTTCTGTAAGCTCTATGGTCCTTTTTTAAAGATTTAATCAGTGAAATGAATTTTCGCGCCTCTACGTGGTACCATTTTCTAAGCCTTGGGTTTTGAAATCTTTTTCGGTGAAATAACTCAATTATTAATTGAAATATTATTTTTTTTTGCAGCAGAAAATTAATTGAAGAATTTCCTACTGTTTTATTTGAAGATTTTTATTTTTCATACAAATAAAAAATGGGGAGGAATATTTATTTTGATTGTGTTTATATTTAAAAGGGGGTGACTGCGTACAAGCCTAGGCAACTCGCTCTTCAAAGCGGTTGCGCAGGTTGCATATCTGGGAATCCTACACATTTGAAAATAATTATTATAATAAATATCAGCAACGAAAAATTGCAATGTTAACAAACTTTTGTTTATGCTAACTTGGGCTTGTGAATTATTATTTTCAAAAATTCACCAAAACCAGTTTATTTTCTATTTAAAAAATTAATTTCTTTTTTTTTTACACACGCTGACATTCTTTCAATTATCAGGAAAACAATATCTTATTAAATTTCATTTTGGCTATAATTGAGCAATAAATTGATTTTTTTTTTTAATTTATTTCCACTCACCTCCAAGGGGGAAGAACTTGGCGTAGATACTTTTGAAGGTCTCCTCAGTGATCATTCCTGTCGGACACTCTTGCTTGAAGCCTCTGTACACAAACTGGATCTCCTTTTTCGTGAAGCCGGTCGATTTGCTCAGCTTGTCCAGTCTGTCAGGCTTGTAGCGGGGCGGCTGCACCTCGTACTCTTCCAGATCCAAATCTGCAACCAACCGGAAAGGCGAACTGTAATAAATTTTTTCTCTCTCACTGTTTTCGTTTTCGCGTTTCGCTGCGTAAAGGGTTGTGAGGCGAATTTCAATGCGGATGCGCTGGTAATTTAATATGATAGTTTACAGAGCCGGCGGCGGAATGTTCAGCTTCTGTTATTTCATTAGATCGCAGAGCGAGTGGCAAAGGGAAAAGTGGGGTCTGCGGACCTGATTAGATTTCGAGAGGCAGATATATATTGGTATTCAATAATTTTGTACAATTGATTTTCGATAAGGAAGCGCCAAAAGCATGTCGTCAATTTCCTAGTAAAAGTATAAAAGTTGCGATAAATTATTTTTAACCAAGCCGTTGAAAAAAACAAAAAATGTGATAAATTTTTAAGAAAAACGTTTTTTCAAATTTTCATTTAATTCCAATTAAATAATCTCAATAAATTTAATTTGTTTTTAACTATAAAGATAGAAATCTTCCTCCTATTTGTTAGAAAAATCATATTTTTTTAGTCTGCAAATTTAAAACATATTTAAGACTTTATACATTTAAAAATTTAAAAGTATATTGTAACATTTCTGAAAGTATTTTTAGACACCCTTATAACACTCTCTATTTCCTCACGCAGTTCTCCAAGTGCGTCTCATTTCCCATTAATAAATGCCAACCCACGGGGATGCAAAACTTTCAGCCCCAGAGGCATCTGCCACTTTTTCCTCCAAAAACAAACTTTTCTCTGCGTGCCACTCGCACCTTTCTGCATTTTTAATTTGTCAAAAAGCGGAACGACGAAGTGCCAGCCGAGAATTTCCCCGGTTTAAAAAGGACGCCGCTTTTTATACGAGAATTTATGGGCGCGCCATTCATCATGGGGACTGATTCGAAACGATAAAAACCAACTCTCGGAGAAATCCAAGGCGCACACCTGGGCGAATGAAATGAGTGGCAGCGGCGCGCGCGCGCGAGGGGCCCGTCCATTAATCATTCGCCAGTCTTGTTTTATCAGCGTTTTGACCACCACGGGAAGAACAGTGGCAGGCATCGATCCGAGACGTCCCACGGGCCTCGCTTTCACTTACGGACACTTCGCCCCTCGAAGAGAATGGGAGGCGAAAATGAACGCGTGACGAAAATAGCTCGGCGCGGGGATGGGAGAGACAGATAGAGTGCCGCTTTTGGCCGGTGAGGGAAAAGAAGACCAGCGACAAAATTTGCTGTCCTGAATATAAAATATTTTATAGTTGAAATCTAGCAACAGCTTCTCTATAGAATAAATTTAATATGCAGATAAGGATAAAAATCTTCTAAAAATTTCGCTCCACAAATAAACTTGAAGATATCATTTTGTCAATATTGACAGAGGCAAATCTGCAGAAATGTTTATATTGGAAAAATGGATCTGGATTCACTTTGAGTGATCTCGTAGTTGGAAAATATAGACAAGTCAGCTGAACTCCATCAGGCTGAGTTATTGTGATACTTGAAATATAAAAACAGCATGTCTATTTAATTAAAAAATTTGGTCTTTTGAAATTTCAATTACTTGGTCAGGGCGACCTTTGGTAACGTTGCCAAGGACTCGACTTTCGATAGAAACATTAGAAGAAGAAAATCATTAAGAAATTAAAAAAAAATCAATGATTTTGCAATTTAAATAAGATACGTCTTGGAGTTTCAAGACAAATATACTAACAACTTAATGACCTAAGATTACTGCAATTGACTATGATTATGCGACCTGCAGCAAAACTCAATACATAATCCATTATTCAGAATTTTATGTGAAAAGTTTTATTTTATTGTATTGAATTTCTCTTCCTAACTCATTCTTTGCAAATTTTGTTTTTCAGATTTAAAATGTAAATAAAGTTCTAAATGATTTTTTTGATAATTGTAATTATTTAAATTAAAAATAATTAAATAGAGATATTCATAGACTATTTTTTTATCCTTTCTTTTTCTTTTTAATTTTTAACTATTATTTTTATATTTTTGCATCTACTTCTATGGAATAAAGAGCTGAATCAATAGAATTTTTTTTGCAGAAAAAGTAGCTTACCTGGAACTTTTTCTATCAAAATTTAGCCTAAACATTCACATTTTTAAAAATGCCTCTATTCGCAGCGGTATTACTATTTAGTGGGAAAGATCGAACATTCAATAATATAGCGGAGCCCATAATAAGCCTATACTTGAAATCAACCAAGCACCTTATCAGTTGTCACGTTCGAAGCGTTTGCCACCCACGATCGTGTGCATTGTGATCAGCAACAGAAATTCGCACATCAAAAGCGGAGGCGGCTTAATTAAGTGTCCCGGCAGCAATCTCGTTAGTCGGATGTTCTAATCGGGCGTTCCCAGCAGGCTGACATTTATTCGCGCGACACCTGCACGACATGACGCCCCAGATCTGCAGGTACTACAATAGAGTTTCGCTTTGCTCGCTCGCCTCACTTGGCAGCGCAGGTGCAACAGTTTGTTCGGGGCGGCCGTGCGAAATGCACCCCGGCGCACAACAATGTAATAATTGTCGCCAGATGGATGAAGGTCGGCCCCGCTGCGACGCAGATACATCTTCCACCCTCGTATACATTTGCACTATACACGAAGCACGTGTAATTACAGAGAGGATCACGCTGCGCTCTCATTGTCCGCCGCTGATGATTATTGCGAATCGACACCAACCTTCGACAAAGAGACTACCTTTTCAATATGGGCCTATTTAATTTGTATCTAACAAAATTTTATGCTAATATTTGTTATAAAAATTATCTTATTATTATTTTTTAGTTTTTTTAATAAATATTTATCAATTATTTATTTCCAATAAATAAATAGTTTGCATATCATTACTTTTTTATTACTTTATAAGTGAAGAATACTGTTTCAGATAACTGAATTCTATAAACAAATATCAATAATATTTAATATATAAGTTCAAGCAGGCAATTTATTAATGTTAACATTTAACCTTGAATTATGCATCACAATTTCTCTTCGACTCTATAAATATGTCTTCCATGATAATATATTAAGAATTAACTGTAGTTCAACTAGAGAGACTAATTTTAAGCATGAAAAGACAATATAGCAGGAAATTTTTATAAAAAAAATGATGAAAAAAGTGAGTTCTAGGTCTTGAATGACCCTCATAAGTTTGATATTAATTTATCGTTTCAATTTACAACTATGATAAAATTGACCTCAAATGCTCATCGATCTAATATTTTACCTGATTGATTGTGATTGATTGATAAAACTATTTCCTCCATTATCTATGCAAGATTTTTCAAAAGCAACATAAATGAAAAACTTGACTTATTCCAACTGCAAATTTTTACATGCTGATCAAATCAAGATTTAGTTGTGAGAACACAAAAGAGCGGATTCCTCAATTTAAAAGTAAAAAAAGCATTACAAGCATTACAATAGAATCGTATAAGGAACAAAATATTTCATATTATTCCTTCATTCACACAATCAAAAATTTTTACACTTTAAATTTGTACAAATTTAGATTTTTTTTATAATGTTCAATTAAAAATAAAAATAAAAGATATTACTCAATTTCAATCAGATAATTCATTTTATACATTAACTTTATTCAATATTTCTTTCTCAGGCAAACATAGCCGTTCATGCAAGAAGGTCCCGTTTTCAACGCAGGATCGGCCGCATTCAATGAATGGTAATGTGAGAATTTATGCGAGCTCAAAGTTATAGTGCGAGCTGGCGAGCGAGCTTTGTCGTTGATTTTTATTGCACCTCTGATACCGTTTCCATTGTGCTCGCGGATACGGAACAGCAGCGCGTATGAACCGCCCATATCTCTGAGCGGATGCCATGAAAGGGTGGCGCGTGTTTACAATTTGAATCGCGGGCAGAATAAAGAGCCGGGGATTATTATTGATTGCTTGCGAAATTGCCAGTTAGAAAGCGAAAACGGAGGGCGGCAGAGAAAATAAGCACCGATTTTATCATCAAAATATCCTAATTTTGCTACTTTTCGGTGGACAAACATTTCGTGTAAAAATTTACTGATAAATTGTAAATAAAAATATTAAATTGATTATATTATTTAAATAAAAAAAATAGCATTATTTGAGCTTTATAATTTCAAAATTTCTTCTTTAAAATACTGGAGCTCACAACTGCTACCAAATTAAATTTTTAACAAGATTACAACTGGCCGTGAATACTTTTTTATAACTTTCATTAGCTGGTCAAAAAAGTTATTCAGACTGGGGTGGTGTGTGCTTGTGAGAGCAGCCTGGCGTTTTGTCACCGTCCGCGTGTGTGACAAACACACGCAGCCATTCATTCCGGTCTCATCAAAATAATTGCGTTTCCGTGTTTGCTGGCCGGCGAGTTACCAGTTGTTGGTTGTCGCGTGGACACGCCGGCTGGACGAGAGAGCGAAAACTCTTGGAACGGGCATAACTCATATTGATTGTGTTTGCGAATCCGCAACAGCAGCATAATATTGTGTCCCCTGGCCAGCAGGACGCACACACACACACACACACACACACACACGTGCTTCATGTACGCCGTTAAATAAACAAAAGGGATGAGCATTTCAACAGCCTCTTTTCACGCGGATGTGCTATTCCAGCGCTCTGAAATTAACACGAATTTAGCTTAAAATTCCCATTCTTTTTTAACTTTTTTTTCAAAAGGAATCTAAAAATAAGGGTGGCGACATTATATTATAATTTTGATTTCAAAAATGAAATAGAGAAATAAATACTAAGCGGATCGATTTTTTTTTTTTAAATTCAAATTAGATCTATTACTTTTAATTTATACTGTAAATTATACAAATTAACCAGCAATACATAACGATGTACACATTTGAGTTTAATAAAGACAATAATAATAATAATAATTATAATATTTGAAATTTAATTGCATGCTCGCCAAATATTATTCACGATTTTTTTTTTTAGAATAGGTTTTTTATTCCCTAGAAATCTTGTATTTTAATTGTTTAGAAAT